ACATTAATAATAAGGCCTAAAATGTAATAATAAATTGCGCCAAATTTAATTCTAAATAATACTCTTCCACTTAAGGCGATAAGTGCACCGCATGATGCAGATAGGGAAAAATTTGGTTGCTCTTTCACGCTGCCAGAGGACAGAAGAAAAGAAATTTTTCCCTTTGTAATAGCGGCTGAAGTGTGTCCACGAAAACTTCCTTTTTTCTCTTCGTATTGTCTAACGTAAGAAAATTAATATTGTTTAGCAGGTTTTTTGCAATTGCTCATGAACTGCTGTGAAACCAACTAAAAAAGTCATCAAGGTTCCAAACCATTTCGGTGGAAGTGAAAATGATCACTTATACAGGAATATGTCTATCGATTTATGTTCGATATGAATATTTGTTTATAATCTCAAAATTTTATCTAACTTTAAAGGCGGTTGCCATGACAGGCTTCTTTGTACCTATTACCGAAATATACGCTATGTTGCTACAATTTGTTTCAAGTAAAATGTCGTTCGGTTATTAACATTATATATCTGAAATGAACGTGATTACTCTGATTGCGATAAAAAAATCATCAATTTCAGTTCGCTGAGTTTCAGTTTTGTGTACTTAAACAATTATCTAAATTTTTCAGTTATTTCCTACCTTCCTAAAGACTATATGTCTTTGAATAATTTGTTATCATGTAATCATCCCTCATCAAAACATTTTCTTTTGAAAGTGAAGTAGTTCTTCGTTTTTTTTTTTTATTTTTTTTTTTTTTTTTTATTCTGTTATATTTTGAAAATGTATCCCATTTAAAATTCTTCAGATGATTTAATTTCACTGCCCATTTCCCATTTACGAATTCAGGTAGAATAGAAATCCGGATGTTCTTTTCAAAAACCAGTCTTTTAGGATATCTCGAGAGCACCTTAAAACATAAATAATAAAAAATAAAATAAAATAAAGCTGGAAGGTTTTAGATTTTATATTACGCACAAAGGGGCGTTTTTTTAAAGTTTTGTGTGTTACCTTTACTTATTAAATATCGTGTTCTTCGCACTTAAGCCATAAAATTAGATTCTACAGCAATACCACAAAATAATTTAAAAAGAGCATATCTCTAGAATTTTCGATACACAGTGTCACGTGCTGGAAATAACTCCCCCCTCCCCGGTACAGTGTTCACTTGGAAATCGTTCAGTTTCTTAATCAAAAAGTTATTCAAAATTGACTACGTTATTCAAAATTTGATGTCTCTAGGTGCCGTTGTGTTTTCACAGTGCGAGAAACCTACATATATTTATGCACATTCTTCATTATTTAATTTCTTTAAATATAATGCAGGGCTCTTGTATTTGTTGGCAACTGTTGGCAACAATTTGTAAAGTGAAACGCCGTTTATAGTGAATCAACGCAAAATGCCAAAACAAAATTAATAGCCCTTCTGAGCAAATTACCCCTTTGGGCTAAAAAATCATGATTATTTGATCACTGAATGTATTTTTAATCCCACAAAAACATCTTCATGACCACGTGGAATTGCACTTATAAAAGTCATGTCAACTATATTTAAAAATATGTGATTATTTTACGGAATGGGGGACATATCCTGAAGCGGGACGCTGTATTGAAACGCATAATATAAATATGGGATATCTGGTCTTTTTCACATATGCTAAAAATAAATGCGTTACTGACTAAGATTGAAGTGAGTACGAAGGACTGGTAAAAAATGTTAGAGAAAATTAGGTTCCAAAACGTTTCTACGAATCTATCTGCGAAATTTCCAATGCAGAAATAAAAGTTGTGTAAAATTTTATAGAATACATTAAAAAAAAGAAAAAAGAAAGAAAAAAAAGAAAAGCTTTAGTACAAATTACTTAAAGCTCTGCAAAATGTTCCTGCTTTTTTCCTTTTTAAGATTTCTGCCGTCGATAAATATAACTTCAGTACTCTTTCAAGACTGCAGTTCCTCTAAAGACTCAGTTTTGTGGAATTAAATATTATAGGGCAACAGATTTTTTAGTTATTTGATTATAAATACAAAATGCAAAGAGAAACTACAATACTGAACATCCTAAAAACTTCGTATTAAAATCTAATGTTAACAGTTGAGCTTCCTTATACACCGATTTCGTGAACTTTTATATCCTTTTTTATAATGCACGCAATTTTGCAGTTTATATATGCACTGTAAAATCCCCAATTATTCTGAATTATTTCAGTCCTAGAGAAAATGGTAGCCAGTTTCGTTCAATATTGATGTTTATTTAGGCTCCCGGAAACATCTGTCTTTTTCAGATATGGTTATTTACGGAAATTGGTCAACAAGACAGACTTCAGTGTTAAGGTAATGACATACTTGTAATAATTTTGCATTAAAAATAACATTTTGTTTTTCAGCGCAGCTATTTTTAATACTACTAAAAACGCATTTAATAAAATAAAAACATATCGTGACGTAGGCAGAAAAATGTGACAGGACAAACAAAGTAAAGCGATAAGCGGGCTTCCACGTAAATTTATTTTTAAGTAGTTAAAGAAATGAAGATAGAAGAACTATTAAGGCAATAGCTTTCAATAAACAATATTGCTTTATTTCTGGATAGAAAGATATCATTGTCGGAATAATTGCAGGTAAGATAGGCGGCTGCCTTGGGTGCTACGTTAGGATGGACATCGAAAATATTATACGCTATTTTTATCAGAATACTATTAAAACAAACTGATATCAAGCCATAAGCGAAAATTCATACAAATACTCCTAAACTATTCCTCATAGCGTAAGGAGGATATGCTTAACCCCTTCTGTAGAAAATATTCTCATGATTAAGAAATTTTATAGTTTGAAAACGTGTTTCTTCTTGCACGACTTCTGAAAAATTTACTGGCAATCGCATGGGAGAGGCCTAAAAGCAATTTAAGTAGAATTGGGTAAGTCACATAAACATGGTCAAACTGCAGAATCTATTATAAACTTGTGCTTATGAATAAATAACAAGTGCTTATGTTCTCTGAAATCCGAAAATGGCTTGAATCCTTCCGTAATGGGTATAATCAGCCTTGTCATTTCAAGAAAGAATTTCTGGAAACGAAGGAATATTCCGTCGGACAGGGTCCTTATGCGTTGTCCTATGTATGCAACTAAGTTTTTAAGTGAAGAGTATTTAAAAATACTTCAGAGACAGCAGCTTTCATACACACAGCTTTATGTAGTCATTATATATAGAATGCGTTTACAGGTATTCAGGACTGATTTTTTTTAATCAATCTCAGTCGATATGCCCTGTAATAACTAAAGATACTAATTACTTTGCAAATTTCAAACTTTTTGGGGGGGTACGTGTATAAAATGTCTTTTTTTTTTTTTTTTTCTTTTTAAGGAAGGAATTTTAAATAAAATTTTTTGTTTGAATTGAGACAGCTATATCTGCTGCCATGAACTGACAGAGGCTTCAGAGATGAAATGCAATAAGAATAGCATTTAAACAGTAGAAGGTAATCTTAACGTTTTTAGAAAAATAATTTCTAGTAAGGAAAACTGACCTTTTACTTGCAACCGCCTGTATGGTAAGAGCAAATTTACCTCGGAAAAACGGTTTTACCACACTCGAAGTTTCAGAAGCTTCGAGTAAACAATTTCTAGCACCCGAGGTGCTATTAGTCTCGGCCCTCATTATTTTGTCATCACATTTCAGATTAAAGGGTAGTGCCACCAAATATTATTACCGTGTTTTAGTTTATAATCAAATTTTGTAATTTGTATAATAATAAAGTTAAAAAGACAAAAAAGTTGTGTTAGCAAGAGTGAATCCAAGAGCAGATTGGTAAACTGCAAACTCAGTTAGAGCATTAAAATCCCCGTGCTACAATGTTAAAATCTGAATCCTTTCAGATTTTCCTTTTTAGCCCAAAACGCTATTAAGTCTCGTAATACCATTTTGCGTTGATTCACTTTAAATGTCGTTCACTGCAAATACATTGCTTTATCTTTCAGATTTTATCTGTCTGTTATTAATTAACAAGCTAAGCCATTTAAAAGCAATCGATGTAGCTTTTAAGAATACTTTTTTAACTTTTTAATCTGATTGATTTAAATAAAAATGCATGCATTTCGCAATATATCTAATTAAAAACATTAAATACTTTTACAGCGTTGCATTATATATTTTTTCACTTTTCCAATATATGGAAGATAATGTGACTTCTCCATTTTAGACCAAATGCATATTTGTCTAACATTCTAAAAAATGTTTCACTATTCCACTTGGTCCATCTCTATTGATGATCTCTACTGATAAACTGTATTAAACTTTCAAAGAGATCTTCTGAGTGACTTTTAAAAATCTAAACCTTTTTAGACTTGTTTTTCTTTCTTCATTATTATTATTTAATTCAGTTCGCAATATATGTATGTTTCAATATTTTGATTTTCTCTGATTTATAACATTTTACAGCCAAAAAAGAAATGCAAAATCAAATGCCAGAACATTTGGAATTGAAATTTTTAGTATTAAATAACATAACATTCTAAGAAATGTACATACATAACATAATATATTTTAAAAAAATTCTTGCTATTGAATAGCATTAAAATTCGATTCTTTAATATAATTTGAAACCCAATATTTTTTAAACTCGATTTTTTTTCTTTAAACTCATGAAATTCCAAGAATTTATTTTCAATACATGGCAGCAGTAGATATTATTCGTGTTGAAGGAAAAGTGAAATATTGCATGGGTCTTCACATTTTTAATTTTACTTTTATTTACATTTTTTAACACTTTTAAGAATTTTTAAGATATTTCACTCATAAACTCTTCTTTGAGGTATTAGATTGCAATCTTAAGCTTTCAGACTGAAAATTTTTTTATATATATATTTTAAAAAGTGAAGAGACTTTTAGTGCTTATACTTTTATATATAAATAAAATTAAATTTCCTCTTCTTATTTAAAATGAGCATTTCTAAAGCCAAGTAAACTGTTTGATTACTTTTGTAACAGGTGTGTGAGTGGATTGATGCGCAGTCGTGGCTGAGTGGTTAAGGCGATGGACTCGAAATCCATTGGGGTTTCCCCGCGCAGGTTCGAATCCTGCCGACTGCGACATTATTTTGAACAGTCCGTCTTAGCTAGTTTTAAAAAAAGCAACTTCTAGTTTTTTAGAATAGATACAGTATCTTCATCATTTAGCGTAATTTAATAATAATTTTGATATTAACTATTAAATTAGAAATGCTTAATGAGTAGCACTTCCAAGCATAGGGACGAAGAAGGACCCTAACTAAACAATACGTTTCGTTACTACACTATATATTTACCACATAGTAGATAAAGAATTTTTTAATTATTTTTTTATATAGTTTCTTCATATTAGTTTGTTTGAGTGAAATTTTAAAATCAATATTTGGGTTTCTTTTACCGACCCGATTTTCTTCGATTTTTTTCACACATACGTATTTGCGATGATAATAAAATATTCTACATTAATGTTTTTCAAAATTCTCTGCACATATATTTTTAGGACTTTATTTGTCTTCATAGATCCGTATTTAATGGCCAAACTATTCATTGCAAAACTTTGATCGGTACTGTTGCTGTTGTTACTTGTGCTCACTTGTCTAACCGTAACATCAGCCCAAGCCCACGAAGTACCTCGTGGCTAGGAGCGCTAGTTTACGCCTGCCATTGGCAACAGCCTCGAATACATTACAGGCAAGAGTGCGATTTCGCTCAGTTCCGCCCCCAGTTTTGATGGGGAGCACCCCGGGAGGATGGATCCGAAGTCTTCCCACCCCTCTCCACTAAACCACACGAGAGGACTTTCGGCTCACCGCATATTTAGAGGGCGCCATGCCGCAACGACAGTATACAAACATCCATGCCTTGTCTGGGATTTGAACTCCGGCCTTTCGTTACGCTAACCACTGTACCGACTGGGCGGCTGATCGGTACTTCTTTGTTATAACGGCCTCCAGCAATACTTGGGAGATTTTATATTGCACCAAGATCTCAGCTATAATTTCGCCAAGTTCGTAAAGCGCAAATATGAAAATAAACAGCACAATATACGATAATAACAATTATACGTACATGTCGTTTCCTATGAACATTTTAAAGTGTCCCTATCCTTATCCTTATTATAATTATTTTTTCGCATGTTATTGTTCCAGTCAACTGCAGCACTTTCACACATATTTAAGCTGTTTGTTACACCATTTCATGGTCGTCAGCTCCTCTGCCCAAGAATGCATAAACCTAATAGCAATGACGAACGCTATTCTGGAACCGCCGAACCAATTTCCAACACGCAGGCCTTTCTTCATTTTTCAATTTTTAACATTTCGCCTCCAAATGGTTTCGTCGTTGACATAAAGTTTCATGTTGCGGCCATTTTCGCATACTTGTTTGTCAAGAAAAAGAAAAACATTATATGGCATCCACCTGATTACTTGGTTAATCAAAGATTGTTAACGTCATATTCACACACACACAAAAAAAAAATCAAATAAACAATGCGAATTCGAAAATCACATCCAAAATAAATGATATAAGAACACGCGGCGAGAGTAAAATTGCAGCACGGTGTCAGGATGATTACGTGGCGAGATATAAGAACACTCAGCCAGATTTGGGCGAGATATCTCGGTTGATTGGCGATTCAGTCTCAGAGGCCGCTATAACAAAAGAAGTACCCTTTGATCTTCACACTGTAGAGTAGAACAAAATAACTGTCTTCCTTTAGAAAGTTTTTGAAATTTCTAATGTACTAATTTGCCGAATTTTAGCGGTTTTAAAAAATTATTTGGCTTTTAGTTATCGTGCAGGTACTAATAATTAGTGATGAATTTCTAAGAAGAAAAAGCAATAAATTACGGGTAAAAAATTTTATTTTTAATTTTTAGCCTCCTATTATGTTTCTTTATGTATTTATATAGATATATAATTATTTACTATTTTAAATTAAAACAAAACAGGCGAAGTATGATAAAAAGCTGAAAAACTTTTTTGAAAAAAAAATTAAATTAGAAGTTATTTATATACATTATCCCATTAAATATGCAATTTTAAACGACTAAAACAATGACAAAACTTGCTTCTTTTTAAAAAATGAAACATTTCTGCACTCCACTTTAACATCCTTTGAAAGGAATTGACTAGAATTAATAATGAATAGCAATTGTAAGTGAATTGCAGTCAAGAGGAAGAAACATTTTCTAAAATTAACATTTTTCTTCATGCGTCTGCTAAGTGAATGACGCAAGAAGTGTTTTCTAATCAACTCGTACATTTATTTAATACAGTAAATTTTTATTGTAACATAGACTAGAATGTTTTATATAAAACATTTTTTTCCAACTAAAGCTCATATTGCATCTTTCCTATTGCAAGCGAATTCGCTTGCAATAGGAAAGAATCGAATTAATTATCAATTGTGTTTTAAAATATGTATTCAGTGTTAAAAAATACTTCAAGTTGCTGTTATTATAGCCCCCCCCCCAGTTTATTATATGTTTTTTATTTCTTTTTAGTTTTATTTAATATTTTTACTGGTTTTTCTTTATTTTTCTTTATTTATTATTTTATTTATTTTGATTTTTATTATTTGTTTATTTATTTATTTTTATTTCCTTCTTTCTCTCTCTCTCTCTCTTTATATCTGTTTGTTTGTTGTTGCAAGCTTTTACGTTCAACAGAAGAGAAATTAGACTATGACTTCAAGGCGTTTTTAAAAGAGCGTGGAGCGAAAAACGTAAAAGATCTTACTTCTTTTTTATGTTCATAAGACTAAAGTTGAGGAAGCCAAATCATGAGAACTGGTCGTAGTTCAAATAAATATTTTGGTTAAATGGCCTTCAACTCTATCTGAACGTTTTCCAAAGCATCTCCCGCTCGTATGTGTTTAAACTATTATAAATGTGTATACAGAGTGTCCCGAAATTCCATACAAACTTTACCTAAGCATTAAGTCAGTGTTTATTAATATGTGGTTTATTTTCAAAATACAAATTTTTTATTGCATGTTTTTAAATGAAACCTCATTGATCTAGACATTCTCTCTTGGAAACTGCGCATCATCTGCTTTTTAATTTGGGTTATCTTCTTTGAAAACGTGGCTTATTCTAGAAAAGTAAGTTTTCTTGACGGAGTTGAGTAAAACAGAGTACATGTAAATAGTGCAGTATATTTTAGTACATGTAAAAGTAATGCAATATACAGCATCATACGTTTAGACTGTATCAATCACATTTATGGGCATTCATTTTTAATCTCAAGCAATTTATATTTATTATAATTAAGAAAGAATTCGACACCTCGAATCCCACGAATCTTGAAAAAGATTAGAAATTCAGAAACTCGGATCTTCGTATTTTTTTCGTTACTTGAATCTTTCAGATCCTAACCTAAAAATATGTTAAGCGTTTTAGTTGAGAACTTTAGGAAGATAAGTAACTGACGTCTAATAAAAGCGTTCATTAAAAGAAAGAACACAATTGTTACGCTTTTACTCGTGTTTAGATTACCACCGTCACCTCATGACGATACTCAAGATCACAAAATTTCAGTTTCTCATGTAAAACGTTTCGGCAGAATTTTGAAATAATTACTGCTCTGTGCATTTTCAAAAATTCTCGAAACTAACTCCAAATCGTCTTCATAATTCAGGGCATTAAAAAAAATACCTACTGTTAATAAATCCTGAATATTTCCAGCAATTCATGTCATGGTAAAGAAATGTTGTGTAGCGCATATAATTACAGTTGTCTAACTAGTTGAACTACCCAACCATTGTTACTAAAATTTGAATTGTTAATTAAAATATGAACTGCGACGAAGCAATTTTTGTCAAATTATGTTGAAAAAATGAAATTCAAGATTCAAGAGGTTTAATTATATACTTCATCTACTAAATTTCACTTATATCTCCTTAATAAATCTTAGTATATTTTTAAAAATTGCATTCTTACATTTGGTTTTTTTAAACGCAAATTTAAAATTTTGCTTTATTTTAAAATTTTTAACATTGTGCAAATTTTTCTTCTTTCCGCATTATTATTCTTATTTGGAGGATACGACATATTAGAGAGCCTTCTAAGATTCGGGTTCGACAAAATTTCATCTCACCTCTAATCTTGACAGTGTACAACAAATATATTCTGAAAATTACCATGGATATTGGAAAACATGTCAATATTGATTGTCATCACTCAGAAATAAGGGAATGGGAAAATGTTACCATAAGGCTTATAAGGTATTTTCTCCTTCCTTTCCTCATACCTTCGTGGTGTAATTGGAAGTATAATCGACGTGTATTCGAGAGATCCAGGGTTCAAGTCCCGGCAAAGGCAATGCATATTTTTCACGTCTCCTGTTTCAAAAACACTTGATAATTCTACAAATGGCATCCGAACAAAAAATTCGTCAACACCAGGATTCGGCGATTGGGTCCCCTTATTCCCAGCCGCTCTTTAAAAGGGTATTTTCTTCTTCCTTTCCGCATGCCTTCATGCTGTGATTTGAAGTATACTCGACGCGTATTCGAGTAGTCTAAGGTTTGAATCCCGCAAGAGCAGTGCATATTCTTCATGTCTCCAACTTCAAAATAACCTAATGACTCTACAAGGCTATTAATTCTGACTTCTGAAAAATTAGTATATACTATTATATGTTATTAAATGATTCACTGTTTACAAGTCCAGCCTCGTTTATAAAATCACATAAGAAAAGGACTAATCCATGCGATATTCTTGGTAGAAATATAAAAATAAACATTGAGAAAGTGGAACATATATATTTAAAGGAAGGATAATCTGCTAGTTTTGAAAAGGAAAGCCAGAAATTTGGATTTCATCCGCACTGCAGTGTTCCAAAATTAATAACAAGGGGGAGGACATATCTGGGAAGAATATATCTTCGAACCAAGTGCATTACAAATTGCAATTTATGTGTGCTGAGGATAAGTATGGCACTAATTTCCTTTTGAATCATTTAGCAATACCACAGAGTTGTGAAATAAAATTTCCATGTGTGACAGTTCAAGTTCATACTCATTTCAACGTTATAAGGCATTTTAATGAAAAAAAAACTAGAAGCTAGGTAGAAGA